CACAATTCGTGTATAATAAAGAAATAGCATAAGGAACTTTCTTGAATATTGAAGGAACATTTAACAACACTCTTTGAAGTTGGTCACATCACGACGACAGCGAGGAACTGATGAGACCTGATTTAAATAGATAGATGTATTCGTCGGGATGTGTATTGTACTACGCCCTTTAAGAGCAATGGCGTCCCCTGTTCTGTTCTTAAAGCACATCGATAAGTCCTAGTCAGGACTAGTAGGCCCGGTATCAGTGGTTCAATCTCTTCTACGGTTACGTTTACGTCCCAAAACACTTCCTCCTGCGGGCAAATGTAGTGTAAGCGGATGACGGTCTTATTCTTGTATAGGGGAAGGTAAGGTTCTAGAATTCAATATATCAGAGAGTATATTCCTTAACATTTATTGTAACACAATTCCATCTCTTAACTGTACCCAAACAACAGAATCTTAATCACTCTAAAAGTCAGTCACAACTCTAAATCTGGGATGAGTCTATTAACAAAGAGACATCCCAAATGACGCTCGCCACGATTAGTGTCCACAGCATCCCCAGCTCCGTCTGTTCTCTTGACTGTCGACTTGGTTCGATGGGTCGCTGGTCCTCGCTGACTCTGGCTGGCTGAGCTCCCTTGTTGAGTCCCAGAAGGAGGGCAGTTGCTTCTGTTCCGGATCGTCTCTTGCAGTTGACTGTTCACTCCCTGAGGGTGAGTACCTGGTTTTGACTCACTGGTTTGAGCCCTTGGTCTAGACTGACTTTTGATTTCCCAGGCATCCCTTTTATGCCAGTTTCTCTACCAGAGTAGGGGTGGAAAGGAAAATCAAAAGTCGGGGGAGTTCCCACGCCGCAGGTGAACCGACGAAGACAGGTGTCGCGCTCATGGTTGACCCAATTTACGATCGGTAATATTTTTGACCGTGTGACAACCCTTCAGCACTAAATAAGTAGACGATAATTATTTATTTGATCGGTTGTCCAACTATTACAACTTTATGTTCTCCAGGTTCGTGGGAAACATGACGTGGTTCCAGTCTGGGTCGACACCCTTCGACGTTCTTATCTACCTGTCCAACAATGTAATTATTTCAAAGTTGTTTGTCAGATTTGAGGGGGACGTCATGTCGTTCCCGTCTGGGTGATCGCCCCTTCAGATTTACAACCTTCGTTCCCTATTACGTGTCGGTTTACCCTACTTTTTTCTTACTTTAACAACTAAAACTTATCCCTAAGACGGGGACCGGCTTACAGCAACCAGTTCATTAGTAGATCTCTGCTTTTTTGCAGAATCTGCACGTGCCGTGTTGGGTTATGCCAATCTTCTTCAGACGTACATATAGTTTGCAATGTCCTGTAAAAAATCCTGTTAGGATTCGCTGTTTTTTCCTGCTTCTTTTAATGCATTCTGTTACCTCTTTCCTTTCAAAGTTTGTTAGAAGGTTCTTGGTTGTTTAAGTCCAATGAGTGAGTTCCATTTTTCTCTAATTTTCTTTACACGTCTGAGGTGCTCATTGATGGCGTGGATTCCAATGCCGCAGAAGTCCTATCAGCAGTTATCCTATAAGCTTCCATCAGTATACTTCGACAATGTTCCCGTCCTTGTTTCTAACCATACGCTACCTCGGACTCCATCTGGAAAACCGATTGACGTGGAACCCCTTTCACATCAATAACGCACAGACTGCAACATCTGCTCGCAAATTAAACGCATCCGAGATTTCCATAACCTTAGAAAACAACTTGGCATTCTGCGTAATGGAAACACCTAGGACCCCAAGAAGACCCGTTAAAAAATGGCAGCAATGACTTGTTAAAAGAAGAATCGAGACAATTGAACTAGGAACTCGGAGAAGTACAAGAAGGTAAAAGCTGCAGTCCTTGGGTAATAACCAAACCCCCGCTTCTTAGGTAGTAAGTACCGTCACATCTTCACCCAAAAGAACCAGGACTACGTGATGATCATCTACTACTTCAACTGTCAGCTATTCTCGTTAGACTATGGAACTACGAAAAATACAACCCGTTTCCTAGCATCTCATCATCAACGTACATAGTAACATGCAGTACAATTTTAGAATGGTTTTCGGCTGTTATTTACTATCGTTTGTTTACATATATTCTATTAATTATTATGTGTATTTGATACTTGTCTTGAGTTAAGTTCGAGATGTTTGTTAAATAACTATTTCAAGATTTAAAACAATCATCAAATTGACTTACTGAGGTTGGAAGTGAACTTCAGATTCTTTGACTTTGAAGTATCCTGAATCTTGAAACAAATGCACGAATCTTTTTATAAAATAAATGAAGAAAGGGCTTTTCATTATAAAAAGAAGTTTTTTTGTAAAAAGTTGAGCTATTGCACCGTCACATTTCTCGTTAGACATCTTTTATCAAAGATCTTTCTCAAAGAAGTTTTACAGCATATTGGAAGCCTTGGGCGATTTTTCGTCCTCGTAAGATCGATGCCAAAGGGGTTTTCTCTACCTTGAAAAACAAGCTCTCGTCTCAAGAACAACGCTATTATCGATCCCCGGTGGAAAAACTGATTTCCTTGATTAGCTGGATTGTGTTCGATAAATCACGTTATTCCAGCGGAGACCGACGTTCTTCCGGCACCGTCCGACCGTGCAGTCGTCTGGAAAAAGTTCTGTTGCCCCCCCCCGGGCCCGTTTTCATTCGACGCAACCGACCCTAATAAGCCAGTGATAATTTTCACCAACTCTCCACTGTAATTTTTCAACCCTCGCTGTTCCCATTCCGTAAGAAGTTAATTTCAATTATGTCAAATAATTATTTTTAAAAAAGTTGACCCAAGCAATTAAATTAAGCCTGTTAATAAAAGTCACACAAACAATTTCTAACAGCATTTGAGCGAGTGAAGGAAAATTTTAACTTCCAACGTTTTCCAAATATTTTGTAGCTTCAAAACATAAACAAGTCCTTTATTTATACATTATGTACTGAGAACAATGTTAGTTATTATACATTTATTTTTATTAATTTATTGAACAAGATCGACATTTTCTGTTCATTGCCCATACAACCAAATACTACGCCCAACTTGGAAGAACATTTCATTCTGACTTTCCCTCTCCTACTTCTGTTAGCTACCACTTTTTAATTAAGTTGCAGGACATCTGTGCATCATGCACGTTAGAAAAGAACAGAAATTTTATGTACACATATATATATATTACACAGGGTGGGCGACCAGGACCCGAGGGGTTAAAAGCCTGAGTAGGCCCGTACCCCATCCCTAAAAGGTCCGGGACCTGGTCGGCTCACGAGTCCTGCATATGTACACATATATACATTGATGGACAAAATAATACACCACTCAATTTATTTAGTTTAAATTTAAATCTAATTAATTATTCTTTTTATATAAGGTCTTGGTTGAGATGAAAATGTTAGTTACATGAGCGGGATACGAAACCACGACTTTCAGCTCGATAGGCTGTTGAGCCTCTAGCCACGAGCTATCCTGACTTCTTCGTGACTTTTTCATTTTTTCCCAGAAATTAATGAATTAAGTAATTTGGTCAATTAGACCTCTAGACATAAATGGATTTAAATCCAATATCTCTCTAAGTTAGTTACAGGTGATGGAGAGCTGTCATTGTCAAAATAAACTGTAAATAATGCTTTGTTTGCTTCATTTGTTTACTTTTTACCATTTCCACAAAACTTAGCGTTGTACCCTTCTTCTGCTAAGCCTAAAGATCACTTTCGGTTAATCTTTTTTCTTCATTGATTTCGTTTGATATTATTCTTAAATCTTTTTCAATGGCCTCAGTCAAGCATTTGATTGAGTTTGAGAGTGTCAGGGTCATAACATGATTACAGCCAGGAGGCTGAGGGTAAATCACTCTATAATAAGGAAGGGTTCTTCGGCACTCTTCGGCAGAGAAACACAGCTTCACACTAGAAGGCCAGGACATGGCTTCAACCAAGCTCCACCAGTAGGAGAGACAATAGATTCATTCATAATCAGGTTTTATGAAAACGCAGCATTATACGGGAAGTAAGATAATAAATCTGATAAGACAAGCCCCAAATGTTTTGATTTCCTCCAGCACTGTAAAAAGGCTCAATGAAAATAACCTCAGGGCCTGACACCTGGCTCTCGTGGACCTCTTCTCACCACAGGCCAGAAAATGGGGAGATTTTAATTCGTACAGGAACATGCAAATTGAACATTGGAAGATTGGGGGCGAGTTCTCTGTATAGATCACATAGCCTCAAAACTTCAGATGTGTGTAATTTCATGAATATTTGCTCAGGAGGGCCAGGAGGAGAGAATATATGCCCCATGCTGGGGGTGTTCCTCGGGGGTCATTCCATGTTGGATCATTGATATTCTGGGGTGGCATTTCCTTAGACACCTGCACAGAATTGAAAGATATTTTGTTAAAGTGTGCCAGAACAAGATGGGTCCAAGAAAGGAGCCTTGAGGAACACCAGCAACAATGTCTCTAGGTTGGAAAAGGGATGATTGAAAGGAAACTCGGATTAGTTGGAATAAGGGACAGGATTATAACCATCGGATCCTCCATATGCTGACTGTACATGTATCTCGCAATCCTCAGTATGGGTTCTGTGATAAAAACTGGACATTGCACTTGGAATTTTATTTGATAATTATTATGAAAAAAGGTCACTGGCCCCAACACCCAATTGGTAATAAATTTTGTTGTGGCTTGTTATCATCAACCTCCTAAACAGGGTATTAATGCTGAGGCCCACAACATCCCACCGCTCTATCGGACCCAATTGGTTGGATAGTAAACTCTGGTGGTAAAAAGCATAACTGCCCACACAAAGATAAGAGGGCAAAAAATGCAACCATGGAAAGTATTAACTGTATGGAGAGGAAATAAACTCTAAATTTGGTCTTTGTCAGGTTCAGTTAGTTTAGAGCTTTAGGTTATGGATATTCTCTCATTAGAGTAAGAACTGGATCTATTCGAAGAAAATGTTATATTAATTTTACTTGTGGTTCCAGGTGGCAGAAATGTGACCCTGACTTTGGAATCGAGGACAGGCCATACCAACATGCTCGCCGTTGTCGGGATGCTCGTGTTCACCCAGTATTGGTATTGGTTCCCTTTGGCGCCATGCCTGGCTTTGGCTTTCACTCCTACTTGCCTAATCGCCCTGAACCAGGACCTAAAGATGCCCAAACTTGAGATCAAGAGCAATGCCAAACCATCCATGTTCGCCTACCCACCACCGCTCGAGGAGAAGAAACGCGAGGAAAGGGAAAAAGTAACCACTGCAGTTTTGAGCATCGCTGCAAGGGCCAGACGCAGAGGAACAGCCGGAAGATCAGACAGCAAAATGGAAGTGGTATGTTTAAAATTTTCTTGCAAAAACCAAATATATACCATTTTAATTTTTTTTTAACTTTTCCAGGATGAAGAGAAAACTAAAGAAGAAGAGAAAGAAAAAGAAAGAAAAGAGAAAGAAGAAAAAGAGAAAAAGGAAGAGAAAAAACCAGAGCCTAACTTCGAAATCTTAAGTAATCCTGCCAGAGTTATGAAAAATCAGGTAGATTCAAAACAACACTAATTGTAATTTACAAATTTGAAAAATTTATGTTTTTGTTTCTCTTTCACAGCTTAAGGTAATATCATTGGTCGATTCTGGCAGTTATGTACCACTGAAGGATGTATCAATCGGTGGCATTGTCATGGTTCGCCATGTCAAAGCAGGCACTGAAGATGAACAACTTGTCGAGCCTGTCGCCGGTTTGTATTTATTTTTAAATCTACGTCTCAATAATGATTCAATGTTAAATTGATTTTTTACCTTCCAGCTTTCGGCCCGAAGGCCGACGATGAGAAAGAACCCGACCCACCAGAGCCATTCGAATACACTGAAGATTAAAGACATGTGTCTTAGAAGAAGCTGCGGTCGATGCTTTCAATGGGATTCATTACTTTTTAATTTATTTTTTAAGAATTCATTATTAAAAATCATGCATTTTCTGAGAGTCTTTGTTACTGATAATAATTGTACTAAGTACTACTGCTAAATATACTTAAATATATCACCCCTTCTTACAGTTCTTGTGTAATTGTTTTTTTTTCCTTTTAGTCTCTCCATCCTTACATTTATATATTCTCCTAACATTATACTTCTTTATTCCTTTCAAAAGCCAAGTATTAAATGGAAGGTAAAGTAATAATAACAATAACAATAATGTTTACATGATAACAAAAAGGAACGTATACTAAACAAAGCAAATTAACACTAAGTACCATTGCAAATACAATCTGCTGGACTGGAAATGTTAAGTACAGATTAGGGGTTAATTTTGGACACCCTGAAAGCAGCAGTGTATTTATAAAAAAAACTTTTTTGAATGTAGGAACTTTCAATTGAAATTTGGATGCTGCTTGACGTCTCACTGCACCTAAAAAGACTGGACACCACAATGATGTGCACTAAATGGTATGTGTAACCATAAAATTTTTTTTTAAGGATAAATGTAGTCCCTGTTCATCATTGTATATGGACCATAACATAATTCTCAGCAATGATAAAAACACTTCTCTTTTATTTGATAAAGTGAAAGCAACTTTTAGTTAAGTTGTCACATGGCTTTCTCCAAATGGTTTTAGCATTTCAATGTAAAAAAACAACTGCTCTTTGCAAAATAAAAGACCCTCCATGACTACAAGCTTAGATACTTTCTCATATTTAAACTTTGTCTGAACTTTTACCAAGTCAAATCATTTAAAAATAGTTAAATGTGCACACAATCACAGAACAAATACAACCTCTAAAGGATGAGGTGCAGACCAAGTCTTCCCAGGCTATAAAATTTTGTGGGATCTCAAACTTATAAAATTATTAAATATGGGCGTGTAATTAACTGATTTCTAATGCTAATACTAATCATTACTATCCAAACTCAGCCGTAATACTAACCCTTACTCCTAACCATATGCTAACCAAAATCTAACACTATTCATACAACAATAATAATAATATGTGTTTCTTAGTGACGGATTGTTAATTTATTGAATTTGTGTGGAGCGGACAAGAATAAGGTAGTTTAGAAAAACACCTTTTCATTTTTTGTGGACGTGTTGACCTTTATTCGGGGCATAAAAGTGTGGTGTGATTTTTAAGGTGTCATGTTGGTTTTGTGAAGGTTAAGTTTTTCTAAATTACCTCATTCTTGTCCACTCCTCACGAATTCAACAAACAATAATAATACTTTATTAAAAAACTAATAAGAATACACAATAAAAAAAGAAACAAAACTATATTAGAGTAATGGAATTTTATCTGCCTAGTGGAGGTCTAGAGTACTAATGAAGAAAATAATAAAATTCAATACTATAAACAAATAATAACCCTAATTTTAATCCTAACCATAACTCTACCAAACCTAACCTTTTAATCCTGTCCTAAACTAACCCAAATCTTAATCTCACTCTCAACCTTAACCTTACCAACAACCATAATAAGAAACAAAAGAATAATACAATATTGTGAAATTTTGTCAGTCTACTGGAGGTCTAGAGAATAGAAAATATGAAACAATAATAAAACACATAGGTATCCTAAACATATAACCCCAATCTTGATCCTAACCAACCTAATAACCCTACTAAACCTAACCATTTCTAACATACATTAAATTAACTTTAAATGTAATTGCAATCCTAATCATAGCTCTACCAAACCTAACCATAATACAAAAGAATCAAAAGCGTATTACAGAAATGTAACCTAAGATTTTATTGGAGATCTTGAGTATTAATGAATAAAATAACAAAAATGATAAATGTACATAAACAAATAATAACGCTAATTTTAATCCAGATCATAACTCTACTGAACTATTTCTAACATATCATATCACAACTCAACATTACCCTAACACTAATCATATTCCTGGCCCCAAGCTAAGGAAAGTTAATCCATGATACTGGTTTTGAGTGTATGAATATATTATTTCTTATGCTCAAGGGTGAATGGAGAAATTTATGTTTTATTGCTACTAAGGCTGCCAAGGAATGTGTGCATGTTGGTAGAGTCAGTAACTGCAATGTTTAGTGTCTTAAAGTAAAGAGAAAGATTCAATGATAGATCATAAACAGTACATCCGAGCCATCAGAGGACCCGGGTCAGAAAATTCTGCAAAGATTCTGCTCCTCAGTATCTTCTTTTGCTAATTGTAGGGAATGTTTATTAAGAACTTCGAAGTTCTAATCTCGCAATTTTTTTAAAATTCGTTTATTTGCTAAAATGGTCCATATACATGTTACATGTTATTATATAATTATTATTATTATTATATCAATTAAAATTCTGTCCATAATATCCTACTAACAAATGATTTTAGATTCAGGTTAATTTCACAAATCATTAAACTTAAGCGGCCCATAGACGATCAATATTATTGCACATTATTTTAGGTTGTGCAATTTAATTGATCGTGTGTAGACGATATTGAAAGTTTGTTCAATACATTGCATGATTGACGAAAAGTTGAAAATATATTGTACAACCTGGAAAATATTGCACCGTCTGTTAGCATTATTGGGCAATATCAGTCAGTTTGTGCAGTATCAACAAGTGGTACAGTTCGCATGCTCGTGGTTGCACAAAATATTTCACAAACTTCAATATCGCCTTCAAACAAAATTTTGTACAATATTATTAAGGGGCAACCGTCAAATTGAGCAATCTATATTGTACAATAATATTGACCGTCTATGGGCCGCTTTAGGGATTATATTACTGTTAAAGGTAAAAGTAAAGACTTAAACTTAAAAATTTAACATGAATATGGAAGGATTTTCTACTGTACTTTTCTAGTTTTAAGAGTTTTATTGTTCTACAATAGTATCAGTTCTTTCTTTTTTGTTTTATTTTGCTTGCTTTTTTGCTTTGTTGAGCTTGATATTTGACCAGAACGAGCATTGTTTCTTTCTTAGATTGTCGACAACTGTTGTTGACGTCAAAAGTAATGTACCTCTGCCCCTCGGGAAATTATCTGGGCCAGTAAATATAAGAATTATAAGTATAATTTTGTTTGATCATTTTGTTTTTGATTTTGACAGAGTTTTGTTAGAGAAATCAAAAACTATTTTCATGTTTTCTTTCTAATTGTCATGACCAATCTACAATTTGACGTTTTGAATGTGAAATATTTACTTTTTACTGATGTTAAAAGTTAAACGGTCTAAAAATAAGTCGTATTTTATTTAATGTGTTATGTTACACGGTATTAACCAGTTTTGGCGAAGTTGGTCCAGTACTTCATCATCCTTGACTCAAAAACTTCTCGGCAGCATACTTCTTGGCAAGATTAAGCGGCTACCCGAAGACTTAGTTGGTTTCATCTCCGTGCGTCACAATCGTCCACGACGTCCAGGGGTTCGACTTGGACCTATGAATGAAGAGGTACACGTACACGTCGCTCCCGCTTTTCGCTTAGCTATTGAAAAATTTGTAGTCAGTACAGGTGAAATGGCAGTCGCCGACCATTTTATCCAACTAGTTAGTCTTTGTAGCTGTATCGTTTGTTTTATCCACGTCGGTGTACTGAGAAATAATCGCTTCAAGAGTTTCGTTGTTGGCGTTCGAGAGAATTGTCCGGCACAGTATCACTTTCGCATTTTTTCTCTTAATTTTCTCCTCGAAAGTGCATCCAATGTACGTTCACTTTGAAAAAACAGTCTTGCCCTCCACTATACATCAACAATGAAGAGATACCGACTTCCACTCTAGTCAAATGCCTAGGACTGCACCTTGACAGCAGACTGGCGTGGAATCCCCACACAAGACTTAAAAGACAACAACTCAACAGAAGACTTGGACAATTACGCAGACTACTAGGACCAAAATCCGGGTTAACCATCAGCACTAAACTGACCTTATACAAGACTTTACTGCGACCACTTTGGACATACGGTGTGGAACTGTTGGGTTCCGCCAAACCATCCAATATCCTATCCAGTCCTTCCAATCAAAAGTCCTCAGACAAATCGTCAAAGCTCCTTTTTACGTCTCTNTTTATGAGCACAACCATCTAATAAATTGTTTGTTAAACTTAATTGTTTTAAATAAAGTTACTCCTAACCATCATAATTAAACAATGTTTATGTATTTGTTATCTCGTTTAATTTGGTTTACAATAAATAACATGTAATTAATATAACGACAAAATTACATGTACTTAGTTTGAAATAAACTACAAAAATATGAGTGTCCTGTTCTGATGCTACCCGAACGAAAATGGTGTAATCTTACGAGCAAAACTATGAAATAAATTGTTAATTAAATTTTATGAGCAAAACCGTGTAATAAATTGTTCCAATTTTAGTATATTACGCCAATAAATTGTTAGTTAAATTCATTATATCAAAAAAATCGTATTCCGGTGTTTTGATTAATTTTCTACCAAACCATTAAAATTAATCTTTTAAATAAAAAGTCATTAATTTTTAATCACAGTTAATTTGGTTTCTATTAAAATAAGTATGTTGTAATTAATATAACGACAATAATACATGTTGTTTGCAAAAAATATGAGTGTCCGGTTCTTTTGTCTTCGACTGTACTCGATGCGACCCGACGAAAATCTGGACAGCGGGGATCGCAGAGCGTCGGGTAGGTTGGCGTGGCATAGCATCGGGTAGATGTGCACGGGGGTAATGCAACCTTATGGAAAATCGGAGTTTGGATTTCCGTCGGGTAGCATCGGATAGATGTGCACGGGGGTAATGCAACCTTATGGAAAATCGGAGTTTGGATTTGCGTCGGGGTAGCGTCGCATGGCGTAGCATCGCGTAAGTGTGTTCCCGGCTTTAAGCGTTTTTTAGTGTTTTTATTCATACGACGATTCAATCCAACCTGTTACCCCCACAAACTACACTTCTTATATTGTTTGAGGGTATAATAAATGTTAAAAATAGAACAAGTTGAAATCATTAGGCTTCGAAATCCTCATGGATATATGAGGTCGCTACTTCGAAATATATATTAAGCCATATCACGGCGGCAAAGCCCATTAAGTATTCCCTTACTTCCCTAGGAAGAACCCGATTATAAGCTGAGTAGTTGGTTTGGATTGTAACTTTTGACCTGGAATACGAAGCATTTACTTGCTGTTTAATAAAGATTTCCTTTGAATCCCTAACTGTTTCAACAAGGCAATGTTTTATTTTGTTTCCAATAGTGCATAATTTAAAAGTATCGAACAAACCTGAAAATATTATTAAATTGAAAGATCCTTACAGTCATTTTGTAAACCGCTATAAAAAATCGTCATTTGTACAAACTTTTTACAGGTTAATAGTCATAATAATTAGTAGCAATAAATATTTATTTTGATAAAAAGTGTTGTTTGCAAGTCCAGAAACAGCAGCAATTTAGTCTTATTGTTTTCCTTCGTGGTAAGAGTGCTCATGGAAGATCTTATCTTTGGTAAAGCTCAAGAGGGCACTAATTAGAAAGGATAGAAAAGCCCAATGTAGGTTTTCATCATATGTTGTTTCATGCCTCGTTATAATTTTCATTTGAAGAGAATATTTAGTTTTTGTGCTGTTAGTCGAGGACTTGTTTCTGTTGACTTTAAGTACACTATGTTCTTATAACTTTTTAGTGACTGATAGTTTTTTGGTGGCCTTAACAAGGGCCGGTGATTTTTAGAAGTGAGCGTTGAAACGATGTATCTGGTAACCGGGACTGTGAATGTATGCCTGTTGGTTGAGAGAGTACAGTTGGCTGAGGTCCGGGGCCGTGAACCGGCTAACTCTACATCGGTTGAAGAGACTCTGGTGCAGCGGTTTGCCAGTAACCAAGTCAGTTGTGTTGTGAAGGCGAGTTCTAGGCTACGCTGAAAGTACCCTTGCCATCGTCGTGTGTGCTTTATTAGTGATAAGCGAGAACGAGAGAGAGAGAGAGAGAGAGAGAGAGAGAGAGAGGGAGGGAGAGAGAGAGTAGCTGGCTAAGTTCCGGGGCCGTGAATCGGCTGATTATACATCGGTTGAACGGACTTTGATGCAGCAGTTGGTTGAGTGCAGCGGTCTGCCAGTAACCAAGTCGGTTGTGTTGTAAAGACGAGTTCGAGGCTAATGCTGAGAGTACCCTTGCCATAGTCGTAGGTGATTCATTAGTGATGAGCGAGAACTGTCGGGTAGATGAGTCTGTGGCCAGTGGCGTAGTGCCCCTGATTATATACGCACTGGCTCTGCTCTGATTCGCTGCACAGTGGAGGGCGAGACTATTTCAGAACCGGTAGTGACACCTAGCGGGTTCTGTGGTAACTGGAAATGGCCACCACAAATTGTTTAAATGTAAATTTGCTAACGACTACAAATCTTGTGATTATAAATCTCGCTTAAGCTCCTCAAGTTTATCAGAATCCACGTTTACATTGATTATTTTTAACTCAAGTCAAAAAATTCTCGGATTTTGGCCAAGAATTTCTCTTAGTGTATTAATCCGATTCTTCTTGTTGATAATTTCTTGACTTGGACCTAAAGATATATCACCTAACAAAACACTATGCCATCAACATATGGTGTCATTCAAACCAAGGGCACCATATTTTGAAAATGAATTTTATTAAATGCAACATTTAGTATCATTCAATTGAATGAGCATTGACCTCGATATCGGCTCGAAAATAGTGTTGAATTGCTAGACCAAACAAAACAGGCTAGATTTACTTTCTACTGGGTTCCAGGCTATACTGGAGTGGTGGAAAAGGAAAAATGTTTTTGCATGAAAAACGGCTGCACCGTGATGTATTCATTTTAGTATAGAGGAAAATTGTATCGTATTGTATACCGGGAGTCCTTTGTTTCCCAGCGGCTCCTTAGTGTAGGATCTTGCTTGTGGTTTTTCTCGTCCTAGTTGCAAGAACCTGTACCTGCATTGACCTTCGTCTATTTGCATACAAACCGTACGTAACCTGCGGTATTATTCCACCAGGTTTTGAACTCATTAAGGATACATTTTAAGATGTATCCTCTTTTGGGGTAGGGTTCAGGACCCTGTGCGTCCATGTTGGCTAATGTCAACCTTTTCGTTGCATCTATGCCCCCCATGCAGGGTCCCTGGCATTCGGGGCATAGAGTTTGGAGTTTCCCAATACATCATAAATCATATAATAACTGTCTGCTTGTGTAATAAGAAAATAAAGTTAACACTAAATCAAGTAAAGTAGAAACTAAATGATGAAATAAATCGTAGATCGATTATCAAATAAAAGAACGGCGTTAAACGATTTACGGTGAACACACAGCAAGCGGAATATTTAATTATGGTGTTATCCATAATTGTAAGTATATATGATCCATAAATCAGCTTTAAAACGACAATTCATACCAAAATCGTTAAAAAACTAATAGTTTCCAAAATAGCAATCAAATTTATAACAACTTGTTAAATAAGTAATAACGCGTGCATTGGTCAAAATGTTATATTTTTGTGCAAACTTGTCAACTTTGGTGAATACACACACATGCTCATTTTTCCTTTCTAAAGGTACTCTTCTGCATTAAACAAATGGCATGTAATGATGAAGGTTTTATTCGATTGCTGGTATTCTTATGAATAAAACATACTAGTTACATGGCAGGACTTGGTCAAAATTTTAAATTAAATTTAAACAAAAAGACAAGTAATTAAATAATTAGTTACAGTATAAATACAGGCAATTAATCGAAATCGTATAAAATGTACGATCAGGGTGTTATGAATTTTTCTATAAACAAAGATTATTCTTATTACGTTCTAATTCTTCATCCTCAATAGATTTCCAGAATGTACATTGGTCCTCCCGGTGCTTTGATCCTTCTTCAATTTTTTCGGCAAGTTTTAAGTACTTCTTTTGCGTGGTGTCGTATTTCGGCCATGTAACAGAAGTCGTTTGGCTTTTGTCATCTTTGTTGGGATCCCTAAAAACATAAACATTAATGAATAATTTACTAACTTTTTCAAAAACTCAACGGTCGTGCCGTTTAATAAAATTAAAACATTTATGAAATGTATATTTTAGTATTATAGAAAAATATGTGATGGAGAATTAGAATTACCCTGTTCTGGCGAAGTTAGCCCAGTACTTCATCATTTCCTTGCTCAGTTTTTTGTCTGCCTCACTGTACCCCTTGGTTGCATTGAGCGGCTCACCGAAGACGTAGTAGGTTTCTTCTCCGTGCATGCCACCAGTCCATTTAGGCCATGGTGATACATTGGAAATACGGTCGAACAGATAAACATACACATCCTGTTGTAATCCAGCATAAACGTCAGCAAATTGGTTGACGGAGCATGTAATGTTAGANTTCTCGCAGCAAATTTCAAAATGCATTTGGTTCATCTTACCAGTAGGCGGCTTCGCAAAAGGGATTCCCAGCCAAGCGTCTACATCTTTGCCAGTGGCTGATTTGAGCGTGACGCCTTGAACTTTCCCTTTGTCAGTGTTGACAACAAGGTTGTCCTCGGATGACGAACTACCCACGCTGATCAGCAAAGTAGACACTAACAACCACCACATCTCTTCTAAACAACATGAAATATTAATGAAAAAGTTTTTCCAACCTTTAATATAATACGATAGATCCTAACCCAGAATTCCTGTCTAATATAAAATCATCAACGTTTTCAAAAAATAGAAACTTAAGAACGCAATATTTTAAGATTACTCTCTCACAATTCAAATTAAGCGACCAGCATTCGAAAAAAGTTTCTTTCCTAAACAAATGGGTAGCTCTTTAAGTACAGAAAAATAAAATAATATCTTACCTTTGTGCTCTGACGAATTGATGAAACGAAAGAGTGTTGTAGAGTCGTTAAATATCGAAATGTTTAAAAATCGGTTAGAGGATTAGAAAATTATCACACACCATCTGGGTATACACTAGATTTTCTTCGACGTTGGGGATTTTAAAAAGTCTACTTTTTTACTCAGAACAACTGTGCTAACAATTGATCACACCTATTCTTGTTCCTGACCTATACGTACGCAGATAAAAATCACCGTTTCCTGAGAGTCTTTTTCTGAATTCTAACCATAATTCATTCTTCATAAATTCGCACTTAATCAATTACTTAAAAAGTAAATATATGCCCTTTTGGGGCCCATATAATGTAGACGTAGTAATTATGTCACATTTCAATTTAAACTGCGCAAAATTTATTTTTATTGTATTAATTTTAATTAAATTGACTGATATTTTCCTGTTAATTGGGTAAAGCAAAGTATTAATGACAAAAAAAATTAATACTCATATTTAATAACGCATTTACTTAAAAATAGTAAATATGAAGATTACTCATTTTGTAAACAAACTCCTTTTCTAGAATTTATGTTGCTGATGAGTTCCGTTTCTTTCTTTATAGAGATATTAACTAGTTCAAGATGTGTATTTTAATAATGGTTAAAGACAATAAAGCTGGATTAAAAGAAGTAATGATGAGAAAAGGTGTTTATTTAGAAAATGAGTAATTTTCATGTTTACTATTCTTAAGTAAACCTGTTATTCAAAATGAGGTTTAACATTTGTTTGTTTTTGGTTTGTATTTTCTATTTTGTTTTATCCAACTAGCTAGAATATATCGGTTAATTTAATTGAAATATATAGAATAAGAATAGATTAGAAATTATATTTAGTGGTCTATTGACCAAATTACTACTTTCAATTAATTAATTTTTTTGTAAGACTATTATTGGGTTGTCCGGAAAATAATGCAGGATTTTGGTATTAAACAAAAAAAAAGAAACTAGTTACTTTAAAGCAATGTNCATACAAATGAGTAATCCTGTAAACGTAAACAGAATATTTTATATAGATTTTTTTTAATGAAAACTTAAAATCCTGCATTATTTTCCGGACAACCCAATAGATTTCGTGATTCGATTGACTAAATAACATCTTTCAATTAATTAATCTTTATGTAAGGTACTGGTTGAGATAAAAAAAGTCAGTGTCACGAACGGGATTCGAACCCACGACTTTCGGCTAAATACTCCGCTGCTCTTCCACTTGAGCTATCGTGACTTCGGTCCACTCGGACACCAGCTTCCCATTTCAACTTAACCTTTCGAATTTTACTTCCTTTTGCCGCTTGTCGCACCAGCTTTAGATCCTCCGAGGTCCACCTCGAATAGTGCTCCGGCCCACCAACGCTGACACTTTAGCTTAATGATATTTTTTATTGAAATTGTTTGTGTTATAAGGCCGGTTCGCGGAAGTAAAGTCCGGAGGTTGGAACGTCGCGGTCTTAGCCGAAAAACGAAAAACTGCAGGAGTCCTGGCTGAAGTCAGCAATACCAATGGCTTGACCCTCGCATGGGTACTTAGACATTCGGGCATAGAGGCAACGAAAAGGTTGACACGCTGGCCGAAAAGAGAACCAATATTGACTTTCTAGGTCCTGACCCCTACAGTGGGCTAGCCACTTGCCAAAAAATAAGATACATCTCAAAATGGATTCTTAACGAGTCGAAAACTTAGAACAATACCACAGGCATGAGGCACGCGAAGAGATTCATAAAAAGGCCATCCGAAAAACTTACAAAGGAATTATTGGAAAGAAACTGCAACTGAACAAGGATTCTGGTCGGATTCCTCGCAGGGCACTGCCACTTAAGAAAGCACATGCACCGAATAGGAGTACAGAAGAAACACAGTGCAGATACTGCCAGGAAGAGGAGGAGACCGCAGAACACATTCTATGTTTCTGAGAAGGTCTACGTAGGCGAAGATCCTCATCAAGAAGTGGCGTCTCAGCCGACACCTGCGTCTGTTTCTACACGACTGCCTTTTTTCTCGCAGGAGATTCGAAATAAGGGACGGAGGGGTTATGGAGCAACCAAACACCACTCAGACCAACACGTCAGCATAGTCTGGCGGGTCCAGACGGCCGCCATCATGTTAAACTTTTCGCATTTCTTTAAACTAATATAAAAACCCTAATCCCCAAATATCCTTGCCTTACTCTTACGATAGACTTATGCCCGTGTCACTCTGTCGGTTTAAAATTAAAATTTGTATAGTTTTGACAATAAAGTTTCTTCTTTTTTAAAAAATCGTCTTCGAGCGATTACTTAACTTACATTTCTCCATTCTTTGTTTTGTACTAAAAAAAGTGTTTTTTGTTTTTTCGTTCAACAAGAACTGGTAAAAGGAATATCGTTTATCCCACTAATTTTGTTTGCTTAATTGTTTGCGTTCGTACGATTGTTCAACCTTCTTTTCATTCATTGTATTAAAATTAGTGTTTATTTCACTATTACACGGATGGTCGATGTTTAGAAAAAAAAACCTTTGTCCAAAATAACGACAGGCGAAGAAAAATCGGGGAGGTATTTATGAAGGTATGAATAAAATTACAGGCACAAAATACTTTAACAATAGAAGTCTTTTATTCAAAAGAAACTTTTAAGAATCCTAGCGATCTATATCTATGTATCTATAAATGGAACTAGAGGGAAAAATTAATTCTTGATAAATGTAATTATAATAATAAACCATGGTTTTTCTTAATCAAGTTCCTAACAAATGGCCAGAAATGGTGAATTTTTTAAAATAATTGATTCACATGAATATAATTTAAGCGGTTTGAGTAATGAGTACTAAAAAATCATCGATTATACGGTTGATGGTTATAACACTATCAATGTTGAGGTTCCGATGTTTAAACGTTGGTGACCATCTATGTTTTTCGATCGATGCTCATTTCTATAAGTAAATACAAAAGAAAGGAAGGTTCTATTCGGCGAACTCACGCAGCGGCAATTTTGTCCTTTTTCCGGGAAGCAGCCACGGTTGGGGGAACCTCCATCCTTTTTGAACCCCATATCCTAGGTCGAATAATCTTCCCCGTCCGAGAGAAGAGGGCTGGGTCGTTGATAATGGATAATCTGCGAAGTTACCCCTTTTCTTAAACCGCTTGGACTTTATAACCTGGTGTGTTTCGTTTCTCAATAAGGGGTCCGCGATAGCTTTCTTCAATTTTCCCCTGCACGAAAAACACGCTTATGCTTAAAACATATTTAATTAATATATAAACTATTCCAAAAAATATCATTGGAATGAGTTGGATGGCCATATTTTCGTCAAAATCAGTGAAAACGCTTAGGCCCCGTTGCACCAGTCAGGGTGCAAGCCGGGTTCACTGTAACATCGTTCACAATTTGAACGAAGTTCGAGGAGTAAAGTAATAAAACACCTCGTTCTTCCAGGCAGCAACGACGTCTACCACTAACCATTCTACCCGTCAGTGGCGGATCCAAGAGGGGGGTAAAGGGGGAATCCTCCCTGGAACCATGTGAAGATGTTATGTTTACGCCAATGTAAACAATGATTATTTGGAGGTCGTAAGATGCGGTCTGGTGTGACGAAGATTTAGAAAAACATTTTCTTTATCGTGCCAACGTTTCGATCTTTATTGAGATCATCTTCAGGGCCTGGGATTTATAAACATTGTTTAAATTTTACAAATACATGTAGGATCTGAAAAAATGAATTTATACAATGCTAGAAAATTTTATATACAAAACAAACTGAATTTGTACAATGCTAGTACATTTTAGGTTAAAAAAAGAATTTATACAATGCTAAAAAACTTTAGATTCAAAAATTGAAGTTATACAATGGTAGAAAATTTTAGATAAAAAAATGCATTTATACGATAGAAAATTTTATATAAAAAACAAACTGAATTTATGCAACGCTAGAAAATTTTAGATTAAAAAAAAAGAATTTATACAATTTTAAAAATGATAAATTAAAAAAATGAATTTATACAATGGTAGAAAATTTTAGATAAAAAAAATAAATTTGTACAATGCTAGAAAATTTTAGATTCAATCAAAGTATTTGTACTCACTCAAATTGTTTGTTTTCCGTGTAGAAGTGTCATTCTTGTCTATCTTGGTGAGAGGGCCAGTGAGATATTATGATATATAATGGACACATCTACACGGAAAACAAACACTTTGAGTGAGTACAAATACTTTGATTGAATGTTAAATTTTCTAGCATTGTATAACTTCATTTTTTATTCTAAAATTTTCTAGCATTGTATAAATTCACTTTTTAATCTAAAATTTTTTAGTATTGTATAAATTATTGTTTTTAATCTAAAATTTTCATCATTGTATAAATTCATTTTTTCATAGCGTGGCTAGTTAAAAGAAATATAAGCCTCTTTGCTTAATTAAGGCTAAAGATAACGGCTCAAAGTAGTACTGAATTGCTAAATCAAACAAAATAGAATAATGATGTAAACAGGGTCAATCTCCACTCGGTTCTAGGCTATGTAGGATCAATGGAAAACAAAAAAGCGGATCTTTTTGGAAAAAAAAACGGCTGCTAAACCGCTAAGTACCAGTTTGCGGTAAAGAGGAACTTCATAGAGAAGAACATCTTTGAAGAGAAGACAAGATGACATTACAGAAACCGTCGAAATTTCTTACTGAAAACAAAGATACCAAGAACCAGGTGAAATTTGAAAGAAAAGATACTACATAGCAAACCAATTTAAACAGAAAAAGGCATCACTCCTAATAGCGTTTTTTAAGCTTACACAATTACGCTACTAAATACATTCAATCTCTATACACAAATCGAGAACTGTATCGGTACTATGTACAATAAAAAAACTAGTATTCTCCGAAAATCGGTACAGGAGGCCCAAAGAAGCCTCACAGCTGTACTCATGGGCAATTCTCATATAGGGAGGCATTACTACTCGCTCTCTATATGGAGCCAAGGGACGCATCAAGCTTACTTTCTTTACATGCCGGACACATACGCTGCTTTTGAGCCAAAAATAAGCGTCCGTATGTTCCATCACGGATGCGATATTTTTAATTTGGTGAAGATGATTTCTTTTCAACTATTCATATCTTCCTAGGTCCTGATCGCTGTGATCGACTCCGGATGATGGGACGATCCGTCTTTTCTTCACCCTCTCAGTTTTTAAATATTTATTTAGAAAACATTTACTTTGACATATTCAATTCAATAATTGAACTTTTTAAAAGTAGTATGCTGGATAGATAAAATCAGACGACTTGATATTTCAAAATAAATATATTTTTTGCAACCATCGGGTTTATGTGAAGCCATAATTTTTGATGTTTTATTCTTTTTGATTAAATACCAAATCACAAGCTATCACAGTTTTGGATTCAGCATTAAATTTCGTTTATACTATTTTAATCTGAAATAATTTTCTACTAAAAATATTAATAAATATTCAAATTTGAAAAATACCACAATATTTGGCTTTTTAAAACAAAGTATAACTAGGAATGCTTTTAAGTTTAATCCTAGATTAAATTTTAATAAAAGTTCATTACTGCTTTGAACTCATACGTATGCATATTTTTTCTATTCTGTAGGTATTCTTTGGCATAAAACATGATTAGGGTTTTATTGGATTGCTGGTGCTTATGCATAGAACATTAGTTAGTTATCAGGACGTGGTGAATTTGTTAGGATTTTAAATTAAATTTAAAAAGGCAGGTCATGAAAGGATTAGTTACAGGGAATAAATCGAAATCGCAAGAAATGTAAGTTTAATGTTCTGAGTTTTTTATGAACATATTTTATTTGGATGTTGATGTGTCTAATTCGTTTGTTGAAACATGTTGTCCAAGAGTTTTCCAGAATGTGCATTGATCCTCCCTGTACTTTGATCCTTCTTCAAGTTTTTCGGCAAGTTTTAAGTACTTCTTTTGTGTGGTGTCGTATTTCGGCCATGTAACAGAAGTCGTTTGGCCTTTGTCATCTTTGTTGGGATCCCTACAAACATAAACATTAAGGAATAATTCACTATTTTCGTGGTCCGCTTGACCAATTAATACAGACAATTAATTAAGGTATTTAGGTGAGATGAAAAAAAGTTAATGGCAAGAGAGGGATTCGAACCCACGACCTTCGGCTAGATACGCCGCTGCTCTACCACCTGAGCTCTCACTCATAAGGTGGGGTTGAGTTGGGGAGTTGATGTCCGAGTGGATGGATGTCACGATAGCTCAGGTAGTAGAGCAGCGGCGTATTTAGCCGAAGGTCGTGGAATCGAATCCCTCTCGTGCCATTAACTTTTTTTCATCTCACCTAAATACATTAATTAATTGTCTTGTATTAAGGAATAATTTACTAACTTTTTCAAAAACTCAACGGTCGTGCCGTTTAATAAAACTAAAACATTTATTAAATGTATATTTTCGTATTATAGAAAAATATGTAATGGAGAATTAGAATTACCCTGTTCTGGCGAAGTTAGCCCAGTACTTCATCATTTCCTTGCTCAGTTTTTTGTCTGCCTCACTGTACCCCTTGGTTGCATTGAGCGGCTCACCAAAGACGTAGTAGGTTTCTTCTCCGTGCATGCCACCAGTCCATTTAGGCCATGGTGATACATTGGAAATACGGTCGAACAGAT